AGGGCCTAACTACGTTTATGATTGTTAGAAAATAAAAAAATCTGGCTAAAAATGAAAAAACTTGTAGGTGATTATACAAGCGTTTTAAAATTTGTCAGATTTGTCGACAGTAAAAGTATGGCTTAAATATAGCGCAAATTTCAGTCTACACCTGTGTTGAAAACTGAATAAAAAAGGTAAGGAAGTTAAAAATATTTGTACGGCATGGCCCTATTGAAATAGATGTCATACATAAATCATCCAGTTTAATCAACCTTACCTAAAAAGCATGTTGTTGCAAATGACATTTAAAAAAAATTGTCTATGTCATTTCTTCCGACAGTGTTGTCGACAGAAGTGACGCTTTGGTGTTTCATACAACCTTAAGCGATTATCCTTTACAATAATAATGATTTATTGCTGTATTTTTATATTATTAATGGGGCTATGCACAAAACTTTGTAGTGATTGACTACATTTTTAAATTTAGTGCAAAGCTGTATGTGTTGGATTTTATATCGCTCAGGGCCGGTTTATCAATGTCCGGTTAAAGTTGCAGTTAGTTATCTGGCAGATAATCTCCATGGATACCATTGTTCTCACAACGATCGATATGGAATTTAACTGTCAGATAGACTAACTGGAACTTAACCAGAGATTGATGAACCAGCCCTCAGTTAGTTAATAATTTGTACTAAGTTTACATTTTATTTAAATTAATATTTTATCTATATAAAGCACATTTTAATGAAAAAATCGATGGTAGAAATATTATTTTATTGCAGCCGATAAAATATGTTTGTAGGAGGATTAAACTAAGTTAGGTTCACACCCGAAGACGATCAAAGCTATCATTGATCCAAACGCTGTGTATCTAATAAAACCAAGACAATGAAAGCTGACAATCTAAATTTAACCTTAGTTTGGTTTGTTAAAGCATTTTTTGTTTAAATTTTTATTATGCTTGCACTTCTGTCTACGTCCAAAAAATTTTTTTATTTAATAATTAATGTAAATCTTAGACACTAATTTGTTAAAGTTTTTTTATATTGCTCTTTGTTAGAATAACCCTAATATTTAGAAGGCCAAAAATATAAAATAACGTCATTTACGTAAATTATCAATTATTTTTTTATTTATATAAAGTAATTTAAACAGGTTTGCAAAATTGTCCTCCTTACAAAAATCCTATTCTTAGCTTAGTTTTAAATGCGTCTGGGTAACTGATTTATTTCATCTACTTTTATTATATTATGTGAGCGTCAAGGGGACTGCATATAAAAGGGATAAGTACTATAGATAAATCTGCACGACTATTCACAACTCACTAACAAACAAACTTGCATTTTAAATAAAATTTAAGAATAAAAAAAACATTGCAGTGAAGCAGGCTAAATTCAAACACTTTAACTAAATTCAAACACTTAAACTAAATTTCCCACAAGTTTAATAATATGCAGAGTGAGGAAAATAATTAGAATATATAATATATCCCTGCCAAAAGTCACTAACTAACATTTTATTATTGATCTTCAAGATAAAATAAATAAGCAAATACACATAGCTATTACATCAGTTTTAAACTATAGTGATTTTTAACCATGCAAAAACTACCATTTTTTATTATTCTAGGCTTTTAAATATTAAACATATGGTAAATTTGTATAGTTAAGTACAATTTGTTATCATTTTTCAAAATGTCAGTTAGGCAGGAATATGACGATATGTTCCCTAAATCTTTTCAGGTTAGCAAATAAACAATTGTTAAAAGCCTTAATCTTCTTTTGAAGTCAGTATTTGCTAAGAGTAGTTGAATATTCCTTAAAGCCAGCTGCTTGTTTCGACCAACCCGACTAGGACTGACGGAAAAATGTTGGTCTTTTGTCGATTTTTGCACAGATGGATTAAAATAATATTTATATCTATTTTTCTTTTTAAACTAGTAAAATACAGCTTGTTAAAGTGATCTTCTTTGAAGTCAGCATTTGGTCAGAGTGGCTGAATATTCCTTGAAGCCAGCTGCTAATTTTGAACAACCAAACTCGGACAGAAAAACGCCCAAGATGTAGCACTTGACGCAAAATCTGGGCAAAACAGCTCGTGGTAAACGCTAACTCCCGGACCTGGGGGGATTTCGTGTTGTACGGATGGCGACACGGATATGTCAAGATACCACTAGGAAAGTAAGGCACCTACAGCTTAATAACAACACTCAGCCGCAAACATTAATCCCAATTGTGTGAGGTATTTACTGATACCCAGGTCTGGGGATTTTCCGTTTCCGGACACTTGGGTGAATTTGATTGGTTAAATTAATTAAGAAAGGGCGTCCTCTGGCATCACACATAGGGATAGTTTTTCTATGTATTGCATTGTGTATTTCGTTTTATAAGCTTTATGGTATATTTTGTTTTAAAAACAAAGATAAGGAATTATGTTATATATTAGAAAACGTATTTTAGTTGAATTAAAGAATTTTAGTTGGAAATCTAGACCTAGTTCGTTTTCAATATTTCTAATTTTTATCCTGGCTCTTTCCTAAATCGCTTGTTTGTAATAATTTTGCACTCGCACCTAGCGAATCCGTAAAACTACCCTGATATCAGACTGCTGCAGTCATTACGTTAAATCTGAACTAACATGGTCGGTTACATTATTCGTGTTCTACAAAAGGAGTCCGATTTTGGGACAAAATCTGGTCTTGAAATTGATTTGTATGTTTGGGACGATGCTGAATAATAGGGTGGAGCGAAAAAATAAAAGTTATAATTTTTGTTAGTAATAGTTATCAAAAGTTGTCATTGATATTCAGTTGTTGTTACCTAAAATTTGAACCATTTTAATTAATGGCTTCAGGGCTCTACCAAAGGTAATAACATTATCTTTTCTAATGTAGGTTAAATATTGATGTGAATAAAATATTTCATTCTAGAGGCATTTTACCAAAATTTGACACAAAGGCCGAATATAATGTCGGAAAATAAAATGTTTCTTATTATTTAATAGCAATCGTCAAAAATATGTTTTTTTCAATTTTTTTTTGTATGATATTTTTGTTTTTATTTAGAATAAATGTTTTTCTTTAGTTAAAATATTATTTAACAAACACCTAGTTTTAGTTTTTTCAGGCTATATAATATAGATATAGATAAGAAACATAACATAATTTTCGTAGATAACAATTATCGGTAGAGCCCTGAAGATGTAACTAAATTAAAAAAAACAAAAATACTATATTAATCGGCTTTATAAAAGGCAACTTTATTACGCTATTAGATATTTTAAGTCAACTTTAAAGTATTTTTTACGGTTAATCAAAACGGTTTTATAACGGTATAGATACGAAAAATTACCAAATTTGGGGAATGGTTTATTTCGTTATTTTACCTACATAATAACCTTTTGGATCAACTAAGAGAATAACGTAATAAAAACAATATAAATACCACAAATTTACGTAAAAATAACGTTATAATTACTAACTGTTTGCTCTCTCTTTCAAAAACATTGACATTCGTAATTTCTTTGTTCTTTTAATTTATATTTTTATAAAATGGTACTAACAAAGTAATAAAGGTCACCCTAGAGTAAAATTATAAAATATAACTTAAATTGTCAAAACTAATAATATTTTGCATTAAAACTGAAACGCACATTATTTTATTGATAAAAATAGACAGGATACATCTTAAAAATTACATACCCTCTAAATATTTTACAATTTTAAGAAAAATTATTGCTTGGGTAAAAATTTAACAAAACTTAAAACCTACAAAATTTTATAAAATCTTTTAAAAATTATTTAGTTTTAATCATTTTTTAATAACTAAAACTTTCTTTGTTATATTTTAGAAAAATATTTATGAAAAAATATCATATAAATGTTTAGATAAGTAATGGATGCCATCTTAAAAAATTCATTATGGCGACCTGAAAAAAAATTTCCCTAAAGGTTTATTTTTCACTTCAAGCTTATTTTTCCTTGTTTAGTCAATATTAAAAGTATTTATTACCACTAATAACCCTAAAAAATACCAGGCGAATAGGAATTATTTACGGTTATAAAGTGGTCTTAATATCGTAAAAGTATGACTTATGAGTAACATTTACCATTAAGTAAAAATTCTGAAGTTAAAATTACCGTTAAATTTTCCTTTAGGTGAAATACACCTATAAGTAATTTTCTTTCGTAAAAAATACGTCCCTCATAATACTTTAAAGTGTTAAAACTTAAGGGTTATTAAAATAGGTAAAAATAACATAAATAAAACTTATTAAATAACTTTATAAAAAGTTTTACTTTAAAGTAAATTTTTAAGGTTAATTTAACAAAATATTTACTTAAATTAAGTAATATTGCCTCAAAGCTCTACACTTTTACTTAAAATGCTGCTTGGGTTCGCTCCACCCTACTGAATAATGACACATCATTCACAGTTTTAGTCAATGTGCATATTTAAGACTTAATATATACTATAATTTACTTGGTGCTTAAGTTTCCTGCACCCATTGGACAATATCAAGAGCTACCTTATCTTCACCCAGTTCCTGACTGATATCAGTTAGCCGTCTGCAACTGTCTTGTCAAAAGTGTAAGGTTTTTAATGATATATTTTATAATAACAAGATAACGCAGATATTAAGGTAAGGATACACGATAGCGCCCAACGAGGTTACAATAGTCACGAGAGCACATTTTAATGTCGAGCAGATAGAACATAAATTAAACTTAAGAAACTGTATAAAACCATATTTCATTTACAGCATTAATAATCTTTTAAGTTTGCAGAGATAACTCTACTGGCGACGTAATTTATCGTTTTATTTATTATGATATTGGTAATGTTTATTTTATCTAAAGATGAGCGAGTTTATTTTTAAAACGCTGTAGCGTAATAAATTTAAATAAATGCGATTTTATTACAAACATACATGACTTTTATGTACTTTTTATCTCTTTACCAATAGTTTATTTATGTGTTTTAGAATTTTTTTTTCATTTTTCCCTTTTAAAAATTGTATTATTTGATATGTTTTGCTAAAATCAAGTAATATTTTGTGCTAATAAAAAAGCTTTAAAAGAAAACAACTTACCTTTAATAAAATCGACAGCCATCTCCAACCCATACGTATCCTTGTCGCAATCATCCAGTATATGCGCACCGATGGTGACATTCGGCAGCAAGGGATCCTGAGCGTAATTCAACCTGTCCAGCGTGTACAGCATCGCCTCCAGAGCCTGAATGCCTCCCTGAGGCATCACCGGCCCACACGTGATGCTGTCCTCCCGCTCATGCACCATCATTAGTCCTCCAAGGACCAAATCCCCCTCGACCACGGCCTCCTTCTTCACCGGCCACGGCATCTCCGTTAGGATTTTAGCGCTCGCATTCAAAGTGGCGTTTTCGCTTAAGATGATAGGTTTTTCTGTCGCCACTTTGTTGTAGATATCCATTATTTGGTCGACTTCTTTGTCGGACACTTCGGTTGTCAAAACCAGATTAATCAAGAATGTGGATGTGGTGTTTGTGTTTTCTAAATGAGTTTTTTGGTCGTTTGGCAGATTGGTTATCTTGGATGTATTGTTTTGATATTTGATGATTCCGAAGACGCTTGTCGTTGTTTTGTCCGGTTTTTGGGTTACAGTAATATCTGAAATAAAAGAGTGAATAATATAGTAAATATAATTGTCTTGATGTCTTTGGGATAGTGGTGTATTTTGATTAAAATGTTAAGCATATGGACTAATTGTTTTTCTTTATTTTTTATACACTGTTATAAAAATCAGATTTGTTAACATGAATTTGTAGTTTGTTAATTTTATTTTGTAAAATTTTAACATAATTTTTTGTAGAAAACAAGGTTTTATTTTAACACAAGTTTTGTAAAGGTAATATGAACGAAATTAGGATTCCTCGTCCTTATATAGGTTTTGGAATCATTCACTGCGGTGAGACGAAAGTAAGTGGTGCCATCTACCGTCTTTTGACATGTTCTTTATGTTATATGTTTAAGACGGTAGATGGCACCACTTACTTTCGCCGCACCGCAGTGATTGATTTCAAAACCTTTAAACTTTTAAAGACGAGAAATCATAATTTCGGTACTGATGTTCCAATAAAGGGAAACAGCTGTTTATCGATGCTGGTGAGGAACACGAACGAAATTAAAGAAAAGCGGAAACGAAATAACTACATCAGCAAGTGTTGTAGTAGTACTGATAAATTATATTGTACTAAATATCTTTATAATTTGATGATTTCAGAATTATGTTATTTAATTGTGTGGTTTTTTTTAGTTCATTTTTGTAGGTATGTGTTTTTTGTTTAGGCAATTGACTAAAAAAGCAACATTTCTTATCAAAATTCTTTTCATTTAACTTCCGGGAGTTACAAAAAATACTTTTGCTACTGAATCTACAAAAAGGTTTGTAAAAATACAAAATTACAAGAATTATCGTTAAAATATTAACATAGGATTTTTTTTATTAAATGTACAAAATGGTAGTTATATAATTACAAACTACTTATTCAATTAGTTAACAGATTACAGTTGGTTGTAAACTTAAAATAAAGTTATGTGGACCTAGATTAACATAAAATCTAGTTAACATTTGGTTAAAATTAACAAATATTTTTTTACTGTGTAAAAAGGAGTCCTTCTAAGCTAGATTAAAAATAATATTTAATTTAAGAACAGTAAACCTAATAAGAAAATGCCAAAAGAAGATATACTTTTCTTCAAATACTTATTCGTATTATTTTCCCGCTGCTACAAGACATAACTTATTTAAGGTTTAATCTTAACCTTTTCTCGCCTGCGGTAAGCGTTAGCATAACATTTTAAATCAACTACAGACTGCATGCAATAAAACATCTTAAAATTATTATTACATTATGGTCTTCAACCAAAGTCTATATTATTTTACAAAGTAATTTAATTTAATTTTATATTTATTTTTGTAGACTATATTAGAATAAAAACTACAAACGACTATAGGTAGTGTACCTACTAAAATATAGAGTATAAAAATATATGTTTAATAAAGCAGTCATCCAAAAAGCGAACACTTCTAGTTTCTTTATTTTTACGGTTTATTGACTTGTATCAATAAAGCGAAAAGATAAAATCAAAACAATATATGTAGGTATAGGCGTGCTTTTTTATCATTTTTTAAAATGGTTTTACATAAATGTCTGTTTATTTTTTATTTTAATAAAACATTTGCATTGTTAATATTTAATGGACCATCGAATTTTTATTCCAATATATTTTTTAACATCGGTTATTAATTTCAATCAGCTTTATAATACTTGGTTGATTAAAATTTATTTAACTTAATAAATAAATATTTGTTTTACAAAATAAAAATTATGTTTGTGTGTTAAAATCAATGATTATTTATCGTTTTAGTTCAGTCATTTATAAAAGAATATTAAGGTATTCTATTGCAATGATGCAGATTTTAAAAATATAAAATATTTAATCACGCTATATTACAAAAACAATGGAAATATTTTTTTCTTTTGTTTATTTTTTCCATTTCATAGCATTCAGCTTTTTAATTAGGCATTGTGTTGATATTCTGATTACCTACAACCGGTTGGTAATTTCCACTTGTTCAACATTTTAATGCTTCAGAAAATACGTACCTGCGTATTATAGACCTCAATGGACAAGAAAAAAGAACGATGAAAATATATCTTTGACTATGCAAATATGCATTTTCGTTTAGGGATTTAATATTTTCCTATTTTTTCTGTATGATTTTGAAATCTTAAATTTGAGACAGCTGTCATAAACATTTTAATTTGGGTGAATGAATCAAAAGCAGCCCAATTTATTTTATACTAAATTATTTCATTATATTCTTGCCCGAGACAAATTTTAAAATACTAAAAGTGACATTGTCAGGAAATAGAAGGAGAGTAGAATAATATACTTCCATTATTAAAGCAATTTTATAATTATAATTATAATATTTAAAAGACTAATTAATTATTTGAAAATCTATTTTTGCACCAAAATACCAAAAAAGTTAATTATGCATCAAAAGCACACATAACAGAAGTATGTTTTTTATCTAGAGCATTATGTACACTCTTAGAAAAGACCTGGTATTTGCAATGAAAATTTAGTTCCCAGAACCAATTTTATTAGTGAAAATAGGCACAACAAAAAAATTTGTTGTGGGAACTAATACAAATTTGTTTTTACAGTTTGTTGTCGGAACAGCCAATATTGGTAGCTCCAACCAACAAGTTTAAGTGCATCGAAATTAGTTTTTTTTTTCATACAAATAATTGATATTTAATGCAATCACATTAGTCTGTCATTTTAGCAGCGTCTAAGTTGTAACAACTGCACTTGCTATTTATCGCAACAAACATTGTATCATGCAGGAATTTATTTTTTAATTGAAATTACATGAAAAAAGGTACATTTAAAGAATTTAATAGTTGATATAATATAAATTTGTTTTGTACTGTAACTAAGTTATATTTAATATTAAATGCTTGCATTAGTAGCAACAACAAATTGGTATTATTCCACAGTACATACCTGTTTAGTAAATATAACACTTTTTGTGTAAATATTATAAAAAATAGAGAAAGGAAATTCATGCCCGTTCGTTTTATAAATATTTATTATAAATTAAAAAATAACAATATAACTGAAAACACCAAATTTTGGTTTAAACATTATAACAAAAATTAATAATTACTCTAAGAAAACATTTATAAATATTTTAACAATAAAACAAAAACGATTCTTTGGTAAATATACACAGATAGGTACATTAAGATGAAAGTTGACTATACTTCTTCAATAAACCGTGATGTTTACGTGAAGTGCAAGCCTTTGTTTAACAACTTAACAATGATTCTTAGGTATAACGTAACATACTTGCATGATAACAGGGGTAAGCATTCGATAAATTTTGAGTGTGAGTGCCTATAGTATAGGCCCTATACCAAAAATGCGACTTGAGCTGTAACAAAACAAAACAAAAAAATTCTCGAAATTCCGACGTGATGGAGACTTTTGGTGGGCACCATTGGATTCAGAAGGCCATTTTCAGTCGGAATGGTATTTTCACATTTTTGAATTTTCTTTCGGACCCCAAAACTACAATAGTGTAATTAAAGGAGTGCAATAATAATACCTAACCTTTAAAAACTGGAACCAATTCAGGTAAACCCCATGTTCCTAATAAATCTGCTACTTCAGTCTGCTTATCCATATTATTTGTTCGAGATATCTATAAGTAACCAACACATAAGAATATATTCTTATATATATGAATAGTTAAAAAGTATGTCGCCACTGAATTTACAGGGGCAAATGACTAATTGTAATAAACTAGTTTCTTACCTAAAATATACACTACACACGAGCTGATACACAAATACAAAAGAACAAACACCACCGAAGTCTGGACGCCGTGCAACACCGTTTGTTTACAGGTTAAAAGTAAAGCACGCGCCGGGCTGGACAAATCGCGCGCGAAATGCACAAAGTTTGCAGTTGCATTAACCTACAGAGACAACATCCCCAACTGACACTTTGTTTCACACCGCTGGTGTCTTAGCTGTATGAAAAGTGACGCATAGTTTATACAACCGAACCGTTAGTTCCACGGACTAATTTCAGTCAGTTGAGAATGTTACTTAAATATTTGGTCCAACAAAAACATTTTACCGCCGAAATGATTTTTTTGAGATAATGTTGTCAATACTTCTAGCCAACACAAAGTTTCAGTTAAAATAACTTAATCGCCTTTTTGCAGTAAATAATACTCAACAACAAAACTAAATCTTTTCTGGTAATGATGCAAGCAGTTACACATATAAAGGTACTGATTACAAAAAACAAAAAATGTTATTTTCTGCAACAGTTTTACCCCAACGATAATAAGTTAGTTACAAATACCAGGTCTTTTCTAAGAGTGTACGCTGTATAAACATTGGAAGAAAGACATTTTCAGGTGTTTTTGCTTACTTGACATATATTTTCTAATAGTATATAGTAGGGTGATTCATTTCCGCAAAAACTTTTTTTTTCTCGGCGCTCAAGCAAAATATTAATCTACCTATAGAAAATTTTTTTTTTACCAAGGTAGAGCTCTTAATATCAATTTTAAGTACTTGCAGTTTAAATTTAAAGTTTTCCCATTTAAAATGCATGTAAAAAAAATGTTTTTTTTTTCAAATTTCTAATGCTCGCCCGCTTTTTACAATATTGTGAATCGGTTTTATGGACCTTATAAGGAATTTCACGCTCTTCAAAATTGTCTTTGTGTTTTTTGTGTAACTCGTAGTGGTTCGCCAGTAGGAGTCATCAAAGTTCAATTTTTTTAATGAACATTTTTTTTTGCAATTTTTTTTAACAATTCGCAAAAAATAGTGAAAAAAAAGAGCTGAATCGTAAAAAATAGTCTTTTATAAAATATTTTAAGAATTTACGGCCATTTTTATATCTTAAAACGTAAGTAATTGATAAATATTAACCAATTATGCTATTTAAATTAAACTTTCTTATTTACGATATAATTCTCTACAACAATAACTTTTCCAGAGTTATTATGATTTTTTTTGACAATAAAAACAATTAACTTTTTCGTTAATTTAAGAATTTTGTTAAAAAAATTG